TAACAGAACAGAGACTAGCAGATCAACGCCGATTTATAACACGAAATAAAATATTCACAGAAACAGAATTGGACGAACTGCAAAGATTTACCCAGGGCAAAGAAATCAAAGCCTTACCAGAAGTAATTCAGAATGTAGAGGCAAACCAGGGGGAGTTGGCAGTGAAGGAATCCAGCAGAGGTATACAACTGTTCTCATTTGGAAACTAGGCACCTCTACCTCAGGAAGAACAAAACCCTCTAACTAAAGAAATAAAAGAATTGAAACAAAGAATAACTGAGCATCTAGAACAGCACAAAAACAACAGAAAAGGCTGCCTGCATTGAAGCTTGTTCCAAAGAAACAGCTAGCACAAGCATTAAAAGATGCAAATACTGCAATATCAAGTATAAGCACCAATTCACTGCAAGAAACAAACCAACTAATGTACAGCACAGCTGCAGTTATAACTGAATACCTGGGATGCAAAATCAACAAAGAAGAAAAACAAACAAACAGTGCACCACAAAAATGGAAGGTTAGACTAGAAAATAAGATCAGCAAGTTAAGATCACATGCAAGCAAGCTAGAACAGATGAAAGAAAAGAAGCTGAAGAACAAGAAGACCAAAGAATACCTAATCAAGAAATACCACTTAGAAACAAGGAAGATCAAGGAAGCACTGGAAATAATAAAGCAACAAATAACAGCTATAGCCAGGAAAATCAGTAGATATGAAGCTCGAATTGCAAACTATAGGCAGAACCTCCAATTTCAATCCAATCAGAAACGTTTCTACCAATCCATCAATGGAGAAACTGCAAGGAATCAGTCAGTACCTGACAAGGAAGAAACAGTGCAGTTCTGGAAGCAGATATGGGATAACCCAAAGAAATACAACAAGGATGCGGCTTGGTTAAAAGAGGTGGATGCAAATAAAACAGAAGTTGAAATGAAAGAACTAGTAATAACAACAAAAATGGTAGAAAAAAGAGCAAGGAAAATCAAAAATTGGTCAGCACCAGGTGAAGATGAACTGCATGGGTTTTGGTTGAAACATCTAACTGTTATACGCCCACTCATTGCCAAACAGTTCAACAATATACTACAAGGAGGAGAAATTAAAAAGTGGCTAACAACTGGGAAAACCTACCTAATAATGAAAAATCCAGCAAAAGAGGCAACACCAGGTAACTACAGGCCAATTACCTGTTTACCAACAACTTTCAAACTACTAACTGGTGTGGTAGCTGATGCAGTACAACAGAATCTAGTTGAAAACAATCTCTTTCCACCTGAGCAGAAAGGAAACCGCCCCAATAGCAGAGGAACAAAAGATCAACTCCTAATAGACAAAATGATCTTGGAAAACTGCAAGAGAAGGAAGACCAACCTGAATGTGGCATGGATTGACTACAAAAAGGCATTTGACTCTCTGCCACATGATTGGATAATAAAGTGCCTAGAAATAACAGGAGTCAGTAGAAACATCAGAAAATTTGTGCAAAGATCGATGGCACAATGGAAGACACAGTTGCAGATCAATGGTGAGAAGCTGGGAGAGGTTAATATCAAGAGAGGAATATTTCAGGAGATTCATTATCACCATTACTATTTGTTATTGCACTGTTTCCTCTGTCAACAATACTGAATAACTCAGGACATGGCTATCAAACATCAAAAACATCTGCCAGACTATCCCACCTCCTTTACATGGATGATCTGAAGCTGTATGGAAAAACATCATCTGAAATAGAATCGCTGCTCAACACTGTCCGTATATATAGCCAAGATATTGTAATGGAGTTTGGCTTGGACAAATGTGCCACACTTACTATCAAACAAGGAAAAATAGTGAAAACTGAAGGAATCAAGATGCCCCACGAAAATAACATTAAGAGTCTGGATGAGGAAGAGTACTACAAATACTTGGGTATCCTTCAAGCTGACAACATCAAGCACACTGAAGTCAAGAAAAAGATTAGAGGTGAATACATCAAGAGAGTGAAGAAGATCTTAAAGTCCAAACTCAATGGAGGAAATACCATAAAGGCAATCAACACCTGGGCAATCCCAGTCATTAGGTACACAGCTGGAATAGTGGACTGGACTCAAGCAGAACTAAAAGCAATGGATAGGCAGACCAGAAAAATAATGACAATGAATCATGCCCTTCATCCACGCAGTGACATTGATAGACTTTATCTACCAAGGCAAATAGGTGGGCGTGGAATGCTACAAGTACATCAGATGGTTGAAGAAGAAAAAATGGCTTTGGAAGAATATCTGAAGAACAATGATGAAGATGCACTGAAATTAGTATATCAGGAAGGCTTACTAACTACTGGAGAGACCAAACTGGCCTACAAGAAAGACCAAATGAAGAACAGAATAGAGGCATGGGAAGACAAAGCACTACATGGCCAATACGTGAAAAAAATAGCTGGGAAAGCAGATAATAATAAAACCTGGCAATGGCTAAGAGCAGGAAAATTGAAGAAAGAGACCGAGGGACTAATTCTGGCTGCACAAGACCAAGCCTTAAGGACAAATGCATATAAAGTCAAAATTGAGAAGACAGCAACAGACAGTAAGTGCCGCCTATGCAAAGAAGCTGAAGAAACAGTGGACCACTTGGTAAGCTGTTGCAAGAAGATTGCGCAGACTGATTACAAGCAGCGGCATGACAAAGTAGCAACAATGGTGCATTGGAAGATCTGCAAAAAATATCATTTGCCTGTAAGCAAAAACTGGTGGGATCATAAAATAGAGAAAGTCATAGAAAATGATAAAATTAAACTGCTCTGGGACTTCAGAATTCAACAGACAAGCACCTGCAACATAACACCCCAGACTTAACAATTGTCGATAAGAAAGACAAAAAAGTCTGGATAGTGGACGTGGCAGTGCCTGGAGACAGCAGAATAGAAGAGAAAGAACTGGAGAAGATAACAAAATACAAAGACCTACAAATAGAAATAGAAAGACTGTGGCAAAAGCAAGCAAGGGTAGTACCAATAGTCATAGGCTCCTTGGGTGCAATCCCAAAACAACTGGAGCACCACTTGAACACCATTGGCATTGACAAATTTGCTATTAGTCAATTGCAAAAGGCGGCCTTATTAGGAACTGCTTCCATCCTGCGACGATATCTGTAATACCATCAAACATCCACATCTGCCTATCCCAGGTCCTGGGTAAGGACTCGATAGGTAGACAAAATGCCAAATCCAGTCTGAACATCTGGCTGACTGTGCGATGATCCATAATAATAATAATAATAATAATAATAATAATAATAATAATAATAATAATAATAATAAAGTTGGAAGGGACCTTGGAGGTCTTTTAGTCCCAATCCCCTGCTTAGGCAGAGAAACCCTATACCATTTGGACAAATGGCTGTCCAGTCTCTCTTAAAAACTTCCAGTGTTGGAGCATTCACCGCTTCTGGAGGCAGGTGTTCCATTGGTTAATTGTTCTAACTGTCAGGAAGTTTCTCCTTAGTTCTAGGTTGCTTCTCTCTTTGGTTAGTTTCCATCCATTGCCTTCAGGTGCTTTGGAGAATAGCTTCACTCCCTCTTCTTTGTGGCAGCCCCTGAGATATTGGAACACTGCTATCATGTCACCCCTCATCCTTCTCTTCATTAGACTAGACATACCCAATTCCAGCAACCGTTCCTTATGTTTTAGCCTCCAGTCCCCTAATCATGATAACACACCTTGAATTGCCCACAGAAGTACTCTGTCAATTAATATGGCCATAGAGCAAAGGGGTCACATGGGCATTTTGGACCAGTTGAAGCTTCTGAGTGGTGTTCACGTTTAGTCCCATGTCCAGCACCTGGCAGTACTTGAGACGTGAGGTAACATTTGTATGGACTGACTAAAAATAATGGACTTGATTTACTTGAAGAGTGAAGGTGGTTGGTTATATCAAATGGTTGTTAAACCAAGTTTCCACTGTAATTCATTTCAGCAGATAGTATATAATTACTGGCAATATAATTACACTACTAGTTAATTATGGTTTTAAAATAGAGAACCTTGGCTAACTTGTCATCAGCTAACATTTTTGCTTATTATATATTTATTTTTTTCAGTCTGGGTTGAACAGGGCAGGTTTTCTACTTTACATTTTGAGTGGCATCCAATAGTATTTTGTGAATAGAACTAAAAAAAACTTGTGAAAAAGTAACTTTGTGATCAAACCTCACATTTACAACCTTTGCAGGTCTATAAAGCAATGAAAGGCTGAAGCAAGATCATATGCATAATTGTGGTTTTACTTAGTGACGGCTTCGTTTAACAATCCCAGTTGTGGTTCCCAATCCCAATTGTGGTTGATAAACAGTATCTGTAGTTCTTTTCAAGTGCTCAGGATCACTGACTTTGAAATGGTTGAAGAACCATTAAAAATCTGCAAGCCAACACCAATCATTTGTGGTCTGAAGGAACTATTTGCATTATTTATGTGTATGAAAATAGTCTTTATTCTTCAGATTTCTTCTTTTTCCATGTGTAGATCAAACCTTAAACTACCAGAATAAAGCCACCTTCTTGGCTTTCTTGTTGACAAAAATAATTATCCGTACATTCTTCAAAGATTTGAAATGTAGAAATGTACTTAGTAAAGGTTCTTCTCAAATTAATACCAGCACAGTCATTGGCATTTAGGAGGTGGGGCCAGCTAGTCCCTTTTGTAGATTCTAAATACGTGAATAAATTCTATGATCAATTGAGAGCTCTAATTATTGTTGAAAATGCAAAGATCTCAGATACCATTCAAGCTGGGACAATTTAACCTGTGCCCACAGACTGAAATTGCCAACATATCTTAGACTTTTCATTACTGATTGATTACATTGTTCAGTCTGTCCTTTTACTTTCTCATTTTATTTAAAGTGGAAAGATTTTAAAAAGAACATGCATTATGACTTTAAGTTACCTTAAAATCCAAGTGCTTCAAATTGTACTATTGGTCAGGTTGTACAAGTATAACTGATTTCTGTCCTGAGCAAATCAATAGGGCTTATCCATTTTCTTCACAGTTTATGCCACAACAGCATCTAACCCTGATGAATCTTCATATGCATGTTACTATGATGAAAAGAGACAAACATACCTTGGGGATTTGTACAGTGTCAAATGGATGGAAGATTCTGATGTGGTAAGTTGCCAAGATATGGTATTTGCTTGTGCAAGAGCCCATATTAGGGATTACATTGTGGCAAATAGAAATAGAAAGATGAAACATATATGTTTCTTTGCTTTTATTGCATCTGCAAATAGCCAGCTAGTGGCCCTATTCCAAATCATTTATTCTTATGTGGAGAGAATCATCTGGGGGACTTTTGTGAAAAGTATTGGCATCTGGGGGATCATGTCACTTACATTTGCTTACAGATGGACTTTGAATAGGCTGGTCCAGTTAAGGCATTTGTTGTTGTTGTTAATTGTGAAGTCATGTCTGACCCATCATGACCCCATGGACAACATTCCTCCAGGTCTTCCTGTCCTCTACCATCTTCTGGAGTCCATTTAAGTTCACGCCTACTGCTTCAGTGACTCCATCCAGCCACCTCATTCTCTGTTGTCCCCTTCTTCTATTGCCCTCAATCTTTCCCAGCATTAGGCCCTTCTCCAATGAGTCCTTCCTTCTCATTAGGTGGCCAAAGTATTTGAGTTTCAACTTCAGGATCTGGCCTTCTAAAGAGCAGTCGGGGTTGATCTCTTCTAGGACTGACCGGTTTGAACGCCTTGCAGTCCAAGGGACTCGCAGGAGTCTTTTCCAGGACCATAGTTCAAAGGCCTCAATTCTTTTGCGCTCAGTCTTTCTTATGGTCCAACTTTCACATCCATACATTGCAACTGGGAAAACCATGGCCTGGACTATACGCACTTTTGTCGGCAGGGTGATGTCTGTGCTTTTTAGTATGCTGTCTAGATTTGCTATGCTGTGGACTGTTAGTCCAATCACCTGACATGAGGTTGAGTCCATGTAGTGGTGTCAGCCATCTTGAGGGAGGGGCTTATTCTGTTAGCCTTGAAAGAAGCATTGATGTGCCCCATCTTCAAAAGGCCATTGCTAGACACAGGTAACCATCCTAGACAATTTTTGTTTGCCTCCTTGTTGAGAAGGTGGTTGGGTTACAGTGCAGAGAGCTCTGGGGGGAGTGGATTACTTATATCCTGAATCAGTTCAGATTGTAGAGCACCAAAATGGCGTGATGATTGCATTGATTAGTGACCTGTATTGTAACCCAAACAAGGATGGGGCAACCTTAACAATACAGGAGGAGCCTGGATTTAAGAAACAGGTGGCCAAACTTACAATTAAATGACCCTGCCCACTTTAATCAGGAATCACAAGTCAAATTCAATCCACCTAACATCACTAGACTGTATCCCAGGCAGTTCATTGAACCTGACCAGTCAGAGTCCAACTCTGAGTGAATCCAAATTACTTTATCCACCAAATAGCAAGAAAGACCCTGTAGGTGGCTCCTGGAATCTGACCTTCCTCATTCTAAATGGGTCATGCAGATATAGTAAATATATAGAAATAATCATGTTTTGCCACACGTATTGCCAGGATGTAGACCTGAACCTGGGCTGTTACTCATGTTCAGTCTCATTAGTCTTTGTCTCCCTCTTCTGGTGCTTCATCTCCCAGAGCTCCTGGGAGAGGTCACAGAGATAAGTCACACAACAGCAATCTGGTCCACGTCCTCAGCCACCCTCCTATTCCGGGTTGAAGCTAAGGCCAATAATGTCATCCAGGGCCAGTTCTAGACATTATGGTGCCTTAGGTAAAGTCACCTTCTATGGTTTGGTTCATCTTCAGATTTTGTTAGGTATTTTAAAAAGGCACCTATTGGAGCTTCCGGTGGGAGGCGACGGCGATGGCGGCTAGCTTTTAGCCGTCCAGCTGGGGAAGTGTCAGAGCCGCGGAGCGCAGCGCGCATCAGCTGGCCCGCGGCTCGGAAATCCCTTCCCGGGCAAAGGGAAGGGATAGAGAACGCAAGAGTAGAGGTAGAACCCCTAAACCCCCTCTGGATTTATTTCTAGAGGGGGTGAAAGGAGTGTTCCCTCGGAGCTCTTGCTGATCTCCGCCTCCCAGCTGTTTTTGCTTCCTAGGAAGCAAAAGAAACCGCCGCTTCTATCTCCGTGTTTACAGCATTTTGGTGAGTAATTTTTAAACGGACGGAGCAGTTTAAAGGATTTTTTGTTATATTTTAGGTGTTATTTTTTTTATCTTTTGATTTTTACTATTTTTCCTCCTTTTCTTTGTTATACTAGTGAAAGGACTTAAGATGGCGTTTTGAAAGTGTCGGAGTTTTTTTTTCCTTTCTCTTTTGTTTTACTTTCCCTTTTTAAGGATTGTTTTTTGCTTTTGCTTTTGCTTTTTGCTTAGAATTTTTTTTTTTTTGAATTGTTTGCTCTTTTACTACTTATTCTTGGGATTTATTCTGGACTTTTAATGATTATAGTTTGTCTCTTTTTAAAAATTCTTTTTTTCTTTTTTTCCTCCTCCCTTTTTGGCTGGAGGGGAAAGGGAAGTGACAATTGTGTTTTTTAAAATGGCTTCAAAGAGGCAGCAGCCTTCCTCAGTACCCCAGGTTATTTCTTCTCCTATAACTTCCACTGCACAGCTACAACAACAATCTAAACATGCACCACCGGCTCAGCCACCACCCTCCCCTCCTTTACCTGGACTTTCAGTGCAAGAGGTTAGAGGTATAATGGGAGAGATTGTAGTTCAAATGAGAGAGGAAATGACTCAATTTGTTTCACAGATTAAATCAGAAATTAAATCTGATCTCAAAGAAGAGATAACGGGGATAAAGTCTAAATTGCAAGAAAATAATAATGAATTACGACAAGATATACTGGCAGCTGTTTCAGGTTTGGCTACTGTGGTGGTTAAGCTCGATGCAAGGCTTGAGGAAGTGGAAGACAAAGTTGACTCTTTAGATGACAAAATTCAAGACGTGGAAAGGAAGGTGGACTCCTCACAAGAAGATATTTTGATGTTTCAATACAGACAAATGGAGTATGCTCTGAGGATTAGAGGCCTCAAGGAAGATATGAATCAAGATTTGATGGAGGTGGTTCTTAGTGATCTGGCGCTGGCTTTGGATATGGATAAAGGAGAATTACAGAGAGAAGTAGAAAAAATTTATAGACTCAACTCCTGGATTGCTAAGCAGAAGAATTGCCCAGAGATGTGGTGATTTACTTTACAAAGAAGTCCCTGCGGAATGAGATTATACAAGCTTTTTACAACAAAAGATTTCAGATTGCCGCCCAAGATGTCATCATTCTAAAGGAAATCCCATCTAAAATTTTAAGAAGTAGGAAAGATTTTGCTTTTTTAACTAATGAGCTTAAAGCTAGATCGATGCCATTCAGATGGGAAATTCCGATGGGTATCGTTTTGAGCCATGCTGGGACACGTTACAGATTGAACACAGTTGACAAAGCTAGAGATTTCTATACTTCGGTCATGAGTGCAGGCTCAACTTCATCTGGTCGGAAATCTTTGAGTGCTAAGGAACCTGAGCAGCAATCTGAGGCACTAGATTTGGTTTCCGCAGGGATGATAGAAGTGGCAAAGCAACGCCAAAAGGAGGCTAAAGAGCAGAGGATGACTCGTGCAGCTTATAAGCGTAAAGAGAAAGAGCAACGTAAAAAAGAGCCCAAAGAGAATTCTCCTGGAAGTCCATCACCGCCGGTGGGAGGAGCAAGACCCAAGAGTTATGCAACACATGCAGCTCTGTCCGAGTTTGATGGTGTCTTCTCCAGGCTGCGTGCCAAGGGAGATGGCAAAGTTTTTGACCTGGAATGTTAATGGATTGAATTCTCCTCAGAAACGGAAAAAAATCTTTTATTATTTGAAGCAACATACCAATGATGTTATTTGTTTACAGGAAACTCATATTCTACTTAAAGATCAGAAATATTTAGTCAATGCTCGTTTGGGATCTCATTTTATATCTCCTGCACCTGGGAAGAAAGGGGGAGTTGTTATATATGTCAAACAAAACCTGCCAGCTTGTCTGGTAGAATCAGATCCCCAGGGGCGATATGTGATGATTGAACTTGGTATTTATGGTAAGAAAGTACTTATAGTTGGACTTTATGCTCCAAATCAACAACAGGAACAATTTTATAAACAGTTACACCAAAACATAACTTTGCTTGACTATAGATCAGTGGTACTAATGGGTGATTGGAATGGTGTCTTAGACACACAAAGGGATAAGAAAGGTTCCTCTCCTTTTCTTAAACAAGCAAGTCTACCTAAAGCCTTTTTTGATATGAAAGAAGACTGGGAATTAAGGGACTATTGGCGGGAACGTAATCAAGAGGAGAGAGACTTTACTTTTTTTTCTGACAGACACCAATCTTTTTCAAGAATTGACTTTTTCTTGATTACCACGGATTTGTATAATAAAGTAAAGAATGTAAAGATTTTTCCTAGATCACTGACGGATCATAGTCCAGTTTGGATGGAGTTGATTCAAGAGAAAGAGGAAAGAAGATCCTGGAGAGTTAATGAAAAGTTGTTTAGACAAGAGAAGAATGTTCAAAAACTAAAGGAGTGTTTAAAGGACTATTTTGCTTTGAATATGTACAAGGGGACTTCAATGTCAATGGTATGGGATGCAGGTAAAGCATTTATGCGCGGTGTTTTGATAAAAATGAATAATTTTTATAAGCGAAATCAGACTCAGAAACGTAGAGAACTTGAAGATGAAATTAAACTAAAAGAAAGGGCTTTGGTTCTAAATCCTTCTGATGAAAGTACTAAAGAATCTGTAAAGTTATTAAGGTCACAATTTAATATGTTGATAGCAGATCAAGCTGCAACCAATTTATTATTTATGAAACAAAATACATTTTGTAATGCTAATAAGCCGGGGAGATGGTGGCTTATCAATTAAGAAAGAAACAGAGACTGAGAATAATAGAGAAAATAAATTATAAGGGTAAATTAGTTTCTCAGAAGGAATTAATTAAAAAATCTTTTTTGGATTATTATCAAAACCTATACAAATCTACTAATGTACAACTGTTAGATATAAATAAATATTTAGCTGAGGCAAGTTTTCCTAAACTGACTGAGGATCAGAAATATGAACTTAATGGTTTAATTACTAAGGAGGAAATCGCCTCAGCAATTCAACAATTGAAATTAGGGAAAGCACCGGGTACGGATGGGTTAACAGCTGTTTATTATAAAGCCTGAATGGAGGAGATGATTCAACCATTAAATGATCTTTTTAATGGTATCCTACAGGGTTTAGAGATTCCTCCTTCATGGCGTAGTGCTTTTATATCATTGATTCCAAAGGAGGATCAAGATCTTACTTTACCAAAAAACTATAGGCCTATATCTCTTTTAAACGTGGATTATAATATATTTGTAAAAATTTTGGTAAATAGGCTTATGAGGGTGGTGCATCATCTTGTGCATAAAGATCAATCAGGGTTTATAACAGTAAGGTATATGAAAAACAATGTTAGACAAATTATTAATTTACTAGAATACTTAGATAAGAACAACCAAGTTTCTGCAGGGCTCATATTTTTAGATGCTGAAAAAGCATTTGACCAACTGAATTGGCATTTTCTGCTAAGAGTAATGGAAGAAATGAATTTTGGTGAAAACATATTACAAGCCCTTAAGGTAATATATCAAAAACAAACAGCACAACTTATTGTTAATGGAGGTTTGTCGGAGGTTTTCACAATAGAGAAAGGTACTAGACAGGGGTGTCCTTTATCGCCATTGTTGTTTGTTTTAAAATTGGAAATATTATTGATTAAAATTCGAGAGTCTCAGGAAATTAAAGGAATATATGTTAATAAAAAAGAATATAAGTTGAGAGCTTTTGCGGATGACTTGGTTGTTAATTTGTCGCAACCTGACTATTCTGTAGTAAACTTATTACAGTTGATTCACCATTATGGTTTGGTCTCGGGTTTTAAGATTAATGTAAATAAGACTAAAATTTTACCTAAAAATTTGTCGAGTCAGGAGAAGCAGATTTTGGTTAACTCGACGGGTTTTGAGATTGTTAATAAGGTAAAATCTTTGGGGGTGATGCTGTCTGTTTCTAATGCAAAACTATTTAAAAATAATTATGAAAGGTTGTGGGTCGGGGTACAGAAAGACTTGAAGAATTGGGAAAAGCTGCAATTATCCCTAATGGGAAGAATTGCAGTGATAAAAATGAATATTCTACCCAAGTTTCTTTTTTTGTTTCAAATGTTACCAATTTTGAAAAATGAGATTAATTTAAATGAGTGGCAGAAGGGTCTCAATAAATTTATTTGGGCAGGGAAAAAACCAAGGGTTAAGTTCAAAATTATGAAAGAATTCCGTGAGAGGGGTGGACTCAAGGTACCAAATTTGAAATTATATTATGATGCGGTGGTTTTAACATTAAATAGTGACTGGGTAAATTTGACAAATTCTGAGATACTTTATCTAGAGGGATGGGATTTACTTTATGGGTGGCATGCCTATTTAATATTTAATAAAAAAATAGATTGGGCTTTTAAATCTCATATTTTAAGAATTTCATTACTTAGGATTTGGAGAAAATATTATAAAAGTGATTTTAAAGTACCATTATGGGCTATACCTTGGCATGCGATAGAAGGAATAAAAAGAGGGGTTAAAATGGACATGGTGTCTTATAGACAGTTACTTAAATGGGATGGACAAAACTGGCAATTAAAATCACGGGAAGAATTAGTACAAGAAAATTTTACTTATTCTTGGTTCCAATATAGGCAACTACTAGATAGATGGAAGATGGATTGCAAGGTGGGTTTTCTTAGAGAAGATGAAAATCTTATTAAGCAACTGAAGGATCAAAGACAAACCCACATTAAGAGAATTTATTGGGTTTTAGTTGAATTGGACTCAGAAACGGAACTAATTAAAGATTGTATGATTAGATGGGCGCAGAACTTTGGTGAGCCAGTTTCATTGGACACCTGGGAAATTATTTGGATGAGAAATGTCAAATTTACTCAAGCACAGAATTTAAGGGAGAATTTTTATAAAATGTTTTATAGATGGCACCTTGATCCACAAAAAATGTCTTACATGTACCCTGACGTGCAACCTAAATGCTTGAGATGTGGTTATAAGGAGGCTTCCTATTATCATATTTGGTGGTCATGCAGAGAGATAAAAGCATTTTGGATCAAAATATGGTGGAATATCCAGAGAATTTTTAGAAGGAGGGTAAAATTCACTCCGCAATTATTTTTGTTAGGTATTGTTACAGATTGTGATACAAAGGAGGTTGTATTGATGTTAAACTTGATCACAGCCGCGAGGCTGTTGGTTGGACAATATTGGAAGAAGGAATCTTTGCCTACATTGCAGGAATGGTTTTTTAAAGTAGCTTATTTGGCGGAAATGGCAAAGATTTCGGCTTTCTTAAAGCAACAAACGCAAGAGAAGTTTTTTGCTATCTGGGACAAATGGATAAAATTTATACAATTTAGATTGGGTATACAAAAATATTATATAGCCTTTTCATAAGTTTTATTTTTATATATATTATAGATATCTTTTTATATATATAAATATAGAGTTTTTAATTTAATTTTTATTTTTTTTTTTATTATTTCTTAAGCCTATATTCTGCTCTGGGAAGCTCAGGGGGGGGGGAAGGGAGGGTTTTTGGGAGGGGTGTGGGGTGGGGGTTTTTTTTTTTTTATATATGTATTGTTTAATTTTTTTTTCTCTTTTGTATATGTTGTTTTTTGTTCTGTATTGTTCTTGTTTTTTTTTGTAAAATTTATAAAACTTTTAATAAAAAAAAAAAAAAAAAAAAAAAAAGGCACCTATTATTTCTCCTATGAGCTACTTACGATTTTTCAGCCCTGGACAATTTTGGGGGGAGGCAGGGGGCTTTTTTACCCTATTTACGCAGTAAATAATCTTAATTATATAAGCACCCATTGTTGGCAAGAATTTTGCAAAATTTGCATTGGTCATCAAGTGAAGAGGGGGGGGGAGAGAGAGAGAGCACACTCACTTCTGGATACCATCAGTAAAGTATATTGCTAAAATGTCTAAAAGAGGCATATTCTTTCATTTCTCTGAATATTAATCACCGGTCCTTGCATATTCCTCATAATTTTTTCCAATGTAAAACAAATGTTCTATGCTGAGTTTTGTGGAAATTCCTTTTGAACTTAAAACTCTCTTGCATAATTTGTCACTTGGGGAGTTTTTCAACATTTTTTAAAGATTGCATTATAAAGATTCTAACTGAGAACTGGAGAGAAACAGTGTATTTGAATATTTGTTCATAAAAGCCTTAATCGCATGGGAAGTTTTTGTTTCTTTTTCATCTTGCAGGAAGATTTGACAAAAGAAACCCTCCACAGGCAGTTTGTGTTAGTGAGGAACCACACCAACACTAGTCATGTGATGCAATATGGAAACATTGTGAGTAATAAATAATAGTGAAGTGAGACAGATTTTTGTGAAAGTAGCATTCTACCCAGAACTGAATAAACTTTTTGGATAAGAAGTGAAGCATTTTCAGAGAGAAAAAAATCAAGAAAGTCCAGTTGCCTTTTGGAAAAACACCTTTGGGATAACCATGACCTGGATGATTGAGACTATCTGTAGCAGTGGTTCCCAACCCTTTCTATACCTTGCACCCCTAGAATGCTTCTGATATATTCTCGCACTCCTTACAAAAGTTCAAAATAACAGCAACAAATTATGTATCTAACTATAATTTTGAAAACCCAAGTTTTTGCACCCCCTGGAATATCGTCTCGCACCCCTGGCTGGGAACCCCTGGTCTATAGGCATCCACTTCTTCTGTAAAGTTCATTTTAAAAGCTATATTAGAAAAGGAAACATCTTTTGGATGTTGTTGCATTGTTGAGCATTCTTATTTGCAGTTTTGTGCAAGGAATGCAACTTTTCGAATGCCAGACTAACATTTGAGTTTTGAAAGATGGAAAGAAAAAGAAAGAAAAAAAGAGGGAGCAGGGCAGAGAATCCTTTACCTTCCTTGTTTTATACTTTCTAATTAAGATCTAACTTTCAGTAGATCATCACACCATAATAGGTATGGTCTTGACATCTGTAAGGATAACAAATGGCCAACTGCCTTCCCTAACATAATTTTTCCAAATTAAGTTCATATATAGGGCAAACTCTAGCAACTTCCCAGTTCTAGCTTGGGGTTGTTTAGTGTAGGGAAAAGGAAATAATGGAACTCACAATTTTGCTGAACTACCACTCTCAGTAATCCTATCTGCAGTGGCATCCAACTTTCCTTTGCTTATCTTTTCTGTGCCAGGTAGACCAACAGAGACTATGTTTTACAATGTGATCCTTGTGACCAAGGATCTGCAGGCTCACTTGGTCCCCAGTGAGTCCCCCGATAAATAATTTTATAAACTAGTCCCCTAAATGTGCTTCTGTTCCGTTTTTGAAGTGGTTGTCTTTTTATTTTTCCACTTGCAGTCTATCTCCCATATGAAAGTATTGCAGTTCCAGGGCTCAAAAAAGAATTCCAGCATCCCCATTTCATTGCCGCCGATCGATCACTATGATCTCACACCTAGCCCTGATGTGCCCCTTGCAATTATGAAGCGAAAACTGATGGCCACCAATGACATCTATGAAGCAAAGGCAATTGTGAAAGAGATGAAGACACATCTAGAGGTAAGAGTGAAGAGGAAATGCAACATGAGCTTCAGTAGAAAGGAACTGTCTTGTGTTTCTGTGAAATGCATATCCGTTAGAAGTGCCATGTTGTCATATTGGGCTAAGCTAGGACTGAGCAAGCTGAAGCCACAGGAGTTCATACCAAGCCTCTGGAAACTCTTTCATTGATAGGGGTAAAAAAAAAATTAGCAGCATGGCTCTCTCACCTTTTACAGTGGAAAATATATAACATTTATGATGCAAGCTTTACAGAAAGGGACCTTGCCCCAACCAGGCAAAGAATATCCTGCTTAGGGCTGTTACATACCTACTTTGCATCTTGATTTCATCTACTCTGCCCCCTCCCCAAATGTAAAATATGGTTCCCAGCTAGTAAAAATTTGCCTACCTTTATATTAAACCATGCTTAATCTTGATTTATTAGTAAACCTCAATCTGTGTGGTAAGTTCACATAATGCATTAACTAAATAAACAATACCATGATTTAGCATGATGTTTAATTTATGCTGCTATTTACCCAAGGGGATTAAAAAATGTGCTATTAAATGTATTTCGGTATTTAGAAAATGGTGAAACTCACTGTTTTATTTGAGAGGAAAATGATGCTTTAGAATTGTGCTAGGAAAAAAATCAGCTGATAATATAGTACCTTATTTATTTGATTATTATAGCCACACATCTCGACATGGCGTAATATAAAACATAAAAAACAATTAAAGGTTATTAAAGAATTAAAACAATACAAAATAAAATATATGTCACACCATGTAAAACTGTACTGTAGGGCCCTTAACACTACAGGGCCCTTAACACACTTGAGGCCTGTGGTCCAGGATTACAACCACATCTTTGCCGCAGAAAAATAAAACCATTGGGAAAAACCCTGATGCAATTAAAAAAAACTCAAAAGCAATAAAAAAGAGACTGTCAGCAAACAAGCTGACAGCATGAATTTACAAGAATTCAAAGAAGAAATAGTTGAGTCAGGAACGATCTAGTCTGGAGAACTGTGCTGTCTCTAATCTGAATTAGGGAAGTGAGAACTGTTGATTTAAAGTTCATCATACTAACCAGGGATAGTGGAAGATCAGCTAGCTAATTTGCCATAGTCCTCCATATATAGTAAGTTGCTAACTCCACATGGTCTTGTCTTATTTGATATCATTATACTTTTCTATTATTTAAAGTTTTAAAGTCTGAGTTCAGAAGCATTACACTTAGATATTTTGTTGTATGAAGTTGGCAAGGATGTTCTTAAAAACAGGAATGGTAAATGGCCAGTGAGCTAAAAATAGATGAAGTGCAAACAGTCTGGTTCATTTGAGTTAATCTAGTTTAAAAGTAAAAAAAAAAATAATAATGCATGAAACATCAGTCGGAATGAGGAGGAAGACAATACAAAGAATTTAAGTGTTATGGCATTGAACCAGATGTTTTCCTCAAATTTGATCTTTAAAAGCTGTTAACGATGATGTTTGTAGTCAGGTTGTAGGAGGGAAAATGTCCACGTGCATGTGAATACACACAGTTTTCATTTAGTGACTGTTATATACAGCAATTGTTCGCAGTTACACAGTGTTGAAAAAATAACTTTGCAACCAGTCCTTGCAATTACAAAGTAAAATTTTGAAGTAAAATCCAAAATTTGTCATGTTTCACTTGGCGGCTGTTGAGTTGCTAGTCCCACTGGTGGTAGCTAAAAGCCTGTTCTTGTTTTTCTTTGCCCTGAAAGAAAATGAAAGTTGTTCCAGCATTCATTCTTTCCTCTTTTTATATTTTTAAGATCCTAAAAAACATCCATTTCTTTTGTATTTTTCTCTTTTAGGCCAGACAGGTGATTCAGGAGTCAATGCAGAAGATCATATTTTTAATAACAGGCTCTAAAGAGCGTGGAAGTAAAATCTTATCATCTAGACTGAGCCTAAGAAATTATGACTGTTATGAGTCAGCAATGGATCACTTTAAAAAACATTGCTTTAACTGGCACAATCCTTTGGTAAGTTAATTCAAGATGTTGGGGTAGATACCAGGGTGGACTGGTCTTTCTTGGACTATGTAAAATTGAGAAACTGGTCTGTTCTATTTGTTTCCAAAGAAAACGTTCAGTTTGGTTATTTGGTTGACCAGGAGTGTAAATAGTTGCATTTTTGTTTTTCCACTTGAACAAGAAATAAATCTTACAGTCTCAATAAGTTAGCTGGAATGGTCAAGGGCTTGTGTCGAGGTGCTTTGATTTTGAATAAGATAGTATTGCAGCAGCCTTGGAAAAGTAGGGTATTTTATATTTTGTTCTAAGATATGTTGGGCATAGTGTTTCCGAGCCTGGGTTTCTTGCATTCTTGACTGTTGGCCAAGTTGGTTGGGGCTGCTGTAAATTATAGCTTCTTCTAATCCAAAAGATCAAGGTTTCTTATTCCTGGTTTGATAAAACTTCTTAGCATACGTTTTTTATTTGCTGCGAAGTACAACTTTGTTCAATAGAAGAAAAAATTATTGAAATCACCCGTTATGAAAAAAATGTTTGGTATGGTGTGTGCCCAACCCACTTCATGGTACAAAATTGGGTCCTCTGCTGGATCCAACTATGCCCGTAAAAAATTGCCAATGGTCAACCATGGCCTTGTCGTTTCAGATCTGAACTGTTGCAATTTGCTCTATAAGAGCTGATCTTCAAGATCATTCAAAAGTGTCAGATGATCCAGCAGGAGAGGGCTCATTTGTTGGGTGCACCAAATCAAATTAAAAAAAAATTTGTATAAAACACTACTAAGGGAGCTGTATTGGCTGCCAGCTAGCTCCCGGGTACTATTGAAAGGGCTACTTGTCACTTTTAAAACTTCACATGGTTGAGGCATATATCAGTGGGTCCATCTCCTTATGTTGAATCTGCCCACCTAACAAGATGGCTTGTTAGGGGTTCCACTGCTGAGGAAATGCCATCTGCAGAGACACACTGCTGAGGTTTTTCAGTAATGGAACAGTGAATCCCATTATTTGGACCTCCACTTCTTATTATATTTCTGAAGAACTATAACGACATAGTTCTTGAGAGCATTTGAAGATGAGTATTTCACCTTTCTCTAAGGCAGTGTTTCTCAACCTTGACAATTTTAAGGCATGTGGACTTCAACTCCCAGAATTCCACAGCCAGCATTGATGGCTATGGAATTCTGGGAGTTGAAGTCCACACGCCTTAAAATTGTCAAGGTTGAGAAACACTGCTCTAAGGGATGGTACATCAGGTTGGCTTCAGTCAATAGTAACAGTTTTGCTTTTGGTTTTACTGCTGTTATGTTGGTTTGCTGGGAGTTGCTCAGAATTTTCAGAAACTGAGCAACTTAAGAAAAAAGATAAATCCATTGAAAAGGAATAATCTAGGAAAATCTCTTACACCTTCATATTGAGTCATGGAAAATAATTTATGTTGTTTGTATTCATTTTCAGTATGAATATGCTTTGAGACAGCTATATGCCTTGGTCAATGTCTGTGAAACAGGATATCCCATTGACAGGTAAAAAAAAAGCACATGTGTATTTTATCTGTTGATCTGCAGATAGGCAACCTTTTACAGTCAAAGGCCAGTTTTGTTTATTTGTTATTTTAAAGGCCTGACAGCCATAAAAGATATAGCAGTGACATTCCTGGATGGAATTTTCTTCCTCTTCTTGTGACTTTAATTTAAAAAAAAAATTGCTTTCAAATTTCTATAATGTAATTTCAGTGGGATTTCAAGAAGGGGAGCACAAATAGTCTATTATTGTCAGTTCTTATTTACTGGTAGCTCTGGCAACTTCCAGATGTAGACATTTTTATTGTTGCTCTGTGAAAATGTGCTTTAATGGTTGGTACTTTATAAAATTTAGATCTATAAAACATTAGTGCTATGAAGATTTTAATAATTTACCATTGTTTCTCCTTGCAGAATACAATTGGCCATGGATCAAGTGTGCCTTGGATAACTATCCCTTCCAGTAAAATCTACCTCCTTTCAATCAATTAATCAATAACCATGACATTTATCTGGAATAATCAACAAGGAATTAACGCAAAGCAAAGCAAAATCATTTACAGGCATATGTAAAGCTTATGATTTTTAAAACAAGTGACTGGGTCCTACACTTTAAAGCTTTCACAGTATGCAGTGTTGTGATCCAAACCAGGTGTATGTTTTATTCCAGGAGCAGCTTCTGAATTTCCCTGCTTCCTCAGAGCCCTCCCAGTTGCTATCTGGATTCCTCTGTGTCAGCTGGGATACTTTTATTTGTAATATTTTACGAATGGGCTGACTTGTGGAATCTCTTCTGTTGAATTGAAATATGTTTAGTTATAATCCTTTTGCAGAGGCTTTGGGTGTCTCAACCATTTACAGATGACCCAACAGATTTCCCAAAATTTCCTTCTGTGAATGTAATATTTTTGATTTTTATAACTGTAGGTCAGTGCTTTCATGATTTGAAGGATACATTAATTAAAAAGTTTACATTGCATGGTTCAAGAATAAAAAGCCATCAATCTCTCCCTCCTCATTAAAGCTGGGGGGGGGCTACTATGTTTTAACATGGTTCAGCTTCATTAAGGAACGAATCACGGTCTTTAAACTCAGGAGTGATGGAAGAATTATTTTGCAGTTTCTCCTGAAAGAGAATATATATTGTGTTTCCGTTTTCAAGTCTGATGTATGTTTACAAAAGATGATAGGAGACATTGCCGTATTTAGGGCAATCTTTGAATTAAAAAGAAGTTGATAAACCATTTGTGTCTTTCTGTAGTTTTCGGTGTTTAAATGGGCGATATTGCATAATAATTTCTGCCTGTAGTGCATTTATTTAAGCTTTTACCTGAGGAACCAGGAAGTGTTTTCTGGAATCTTTAGGGTTCCCCAGGAGTTTAGGAAATGTTCCTTGTAGAGAAAATTAATAATCTAATCTGGAAATTATTCTGCTGGCTTCCTGAAGCAAACAACGAAATTATTCTTTGTTCTTAAACCTATACAAAGACATCATTTGGGCAGAAAATGAATTTTATTTTAGCATTAATCACCATGTCTTTTGTGGCACTTGAAGATAGAGAACAGTTCATCTTTGTAACTGTACCACAGCAGCCAAGATTTCAGGTTGAAAAGTAAAGGTTCTTCATTAGCTAGCTTAGTAAGAAGGAGAATTCTGAAAGTCTGATTATTTGAGATCTGCTGTCAAGAATATATACTCCATTTAGTCCAGTCTTACGAGTTTTAGTAAACTGCGTTCATACTACAGTATTTGTTTCCTTAATTCAGATTGCTGCTACTGAAAGCATGGATACAGTCAATATGGTGGCCATGCCTGTTTGATCAGGGCCCTGCCCTTTTTACAGTTATTTCATATATGATCCATGTAAAAAGAGATTCAACTGCACAGTTGTGGCTGCCATTTTGATTTTTTTTTTTTTTTACACATACACTTTGAGTCACCTGAATGGATAAAATCTTAGCCAGGGGATGGGTGGGGTGGGAGGGCACTTCCTGACCTGTTTGGGACACTGCAGAAAATAGGATGTTAATGTTATGACTTAGCAGAAGTGGTTGGTCCACGATTTTGGGAATTTTTAGTGCTTTAATGTGAAACAAGTGGTTTAAAGTTTGCACAGGAATAAGGCACCCATTTTGTCACTTAAAATCCCCTTTCCAGGAGACAGAAACATCATAGGAAAATCTGAGGGCTGCAAATGAAATGTTGGGGTTTGCCCACTAAATTTTATAAAAAGTTGTATCTAATCATACAAATACTATACAGTTCCTAAACATTTCCCATACTTTTAGCCCAGTGTTTTTCAACTTCAGCAAGTTGAACATATGTAGACATCCTAATTCTGGTAGTTGAAGTCCACTCAAGTCTTAAACGTGCTGAGATTGAGAGACAACTGCATTAGTTGTGCAGTGTTCAACATACAGTACCTTTGATGCTTCATATCTAATCTCCTGCAAAAACATTATTTTGCAGTAATTCAAACATTTTTCAGAGAATATTAAACATTTTCAGAGAATATTAAAAGCCTAAAATGTTTTAGATAATGAACTGTGAAAAAGCTGTGTTACTGAGAGTGTAAGGACTCACCTCAGTTAACCACTCAAGAAAGCAGAACTCTTGAAACAAGCATTGTCTCAAAAGGAAACTTTTATTAGGGATTAATGACAGTAGAGAAGTCAAGGCGAGATCTGGGGAAAATCCCACTTAAATGGTATAGTTAAACTAGCAATATTCCGCCTCCCACCAAAGTTATAATGCACATTTGAAATCCAGCCAATCCACAGGTGGCACGATTTGTGGGTACCTGGCACAGATGGCGTGCATCTCAAGGTCTTCTCCAGTTTTGTTTCTCTATAACCGTCTCCCTGATAAGGGAGACATATTCCTTTCTCAAGTGGATAGAGGCAGGCGAGGAAAAGTAGAAAGCAAATATCCCCCCCTCCACCCAGCAGAATGGCAGGCCCCAAAACAAGAGCATAAGTGTATATATGCAAGGAAAACAATAATTTGTGGACCTGACACAGAGACCACGCTGACTAGCAAAAAAATAAAAATGCATCAAATCAAACTGCTAGTTCTAAACCAAGATTTCAGCTGATCCATCCGTGGGGTAAGAACAACAGTCACTCAAAAGAGGCCTCCTCACAAAGAGACTGGATTGATAGCTGGCTGTGAGAGAATACCCACAGCATGTTTTCAGAATTTCTAATTTCTAATTCAAAGAATAATTGTGCCTTATTCTTTTTCACCACTCCACCCCCAATCTTTTCCTCTTAAACATTTGCTGGTCTGCTTGTTTGCTTTTCCCATTTTCTTGTGCTTCTAGCAAATCATTAGGCAACACAGAATTGCTGAACTAAGTAGTATGATTTGATCCTGTGACCTCTGTTCTCTAAAGACCTTAGTAAGCTAATAGGCTTTCCTGTAGCTGTTAGCCGTGTCGAGTTTTAAACAACTTCCTTAGAAAACAAGACATTGCACTTTTTTCCTTCCTCTGATTATATCTTCTATCCCTCATTTTTAAAGGGCAGTTGGAAATCCATTGCTTAGAGCCTGAATTTATTAAATTGAAATTTAACTACAAGAATAGCACTGGTTTCCAATGGAGGTTGATACGTTTCTTGTTTTTATTCAGATTTCCAGTCCAGAATACTCATAGAAGTTTCTACTGAAACATTCTGTATTGATCCAAGTGGATTTGATATCCTAACTTCCAACTCTATGATAGATTAATGAAAACCAGACTACTCCAGGTTATAAGGGCTAACTTTATGTTTTTTCTTGTCTTGGAGATCTCCAATATATACAGTGAGGAAAAAATTTATTTGATCCCCTGCTGATTTTGTACATTTGCCCACTGACAAAGAAATGATCAGTCCATAATTTTAATGGTAGGTTTATTTTAACAGTGAGGGACAGAATAACAAAAACGCATTTCAAAAAAGCTATAAATTGATTTACATTTTTTTTAAGTTTTATTTTTTTAACAGAGTTCAATAATAATTATTCAACAAAAAAGTGTTGTCTGAGTATCTTATTTACTAATACAAATTAAATTCCTAATCCCTAAATCTTTTCTCATCAAATCTCTTGATGAAATAGGTCCCAAATTTGAAAATATTCTGTTTCTTCTTTTTCTTTCAATCTTAAAGTAAGTCTGTCCATTTCCGCACAGTCTAATATTTTTTTGATTATTTCTTCATTCTTCCAATATTGTGCAAATATAATTCTTGCCGCTGTAATCACATGTAGAATCAAATATGTACTTCGCTTATCAGGTTTTTCTAGCATTAAACCTAGTAAAAAAATTCAGGTTTATAGTGTATGTGTTTCTCTAACATTTTTTTCTAGCCAAGTATGGGTTATTGTCCAATATCTCCTTGCTTTAACACATGTCCACCACATATGATAATAAGTATCTGGTTTGTGTTTACATTTCCAACATATTTCTCTGACATGTTTTTAAACATTTTTGCTAATCTTGTTGGTGGCAAATGCCATCTATAAAACATTTTATATGTTTTCTTTGTATGAAGCTGACATTGTCAATTTTTAGTTTCTTTCCCACAAGCTTTGCCACTTTTCTGAGTCTATATTATATCCAAAATTCTTTGCCTATATATCATTGTCTCTTTTACTTGTTCATCTTCCATTTTGAAATTTAATAAGAAATTGTATGTTTTTCATTAACTTTTCATCAGAAGTTAATAACATCTGATCAAACATAGTCTGTTCTTTGTAAAATCCATACTGTTTAATATCTTTATCATATCTGACTTGCATTTGTAAATGTGACCACTATGTTAAATTGATGCCCTGATTTTCCATTTCTTGCCTGGATTTTAAATTCCCTTCAGAATTTAGAATATGTTTGTATGTCCATATTTTATCGAGACTGACTAGATTTGGATGTACGAATGTTTCCATTGTTGAAAGCCATCCTGGAATTTTCAAATAAATTTTATATTTTATTTTTTCCCACGCTAATAATAATGCATTTCTAATGTAGTGGTTTTGGAAGTATTCATGTAATTTTATTTTTTCCATACCATAGAAAAGGATGCCAACCAAGTTGCAGGTCATGTCCCTCCAGATACAGCAATCTTTTATTTTTAAGAGTTATCCATTCTTTTATCCATGTTAACACTGATGCTTGATAATATAAAACCCAATCTGGCAAGCCAAAACCTCCATTTCCCTTGGCTTCTTGTAACATTTTCAATTTAATTCTAGCTTTCTTTCCTTGCCAGATAAATTTTTGAATTAGGAGTTTAAATCTTCAAATAATTTTTTCTCCAGTTTTATAGGTATCATTTGAAATAAAAATAATATTTTTGGTAGTATATTCATTTTTACCATAGCAATTCTTCCTAACATCAAAGTTGAAGATTCTTCTATTTTTCCAAATCAAGCTTTATTTGGTTTAACAATTTAATGTAATTATCTTCTTTTATTGTTGAACATCTTGCTGTCAAATATATTTCCAAATATTTGACCTTTTTGACTGTTTGCAATTCTGTTTTTTCTGATAATTGCTTTTTTTGTTTATCTGTAAAAATTTTAACTATCACTTTGTTTTTTTTCTCTATTTATCTTTAATCCTGCTATCTCTCCAAATTGTTCTATCTTTTCTAACAGTTTACTAATCGTCTCTAAAGGTTCCTCTAGAATAAATACCAAATCATCTGCAAATGCTTGCAGTTTGTAGGTTTCACCTTTTATTTTCAATCCTTTAATTTCTGGGTTTTGCCTAATGTTTATATTTAAAACTTCCAAAGTTAAGATAAATAGCAATGGGGATAATGGACATCCTTGTCTTATGCCTTTTCGTATATCAAAATTCTCTGTGTAATCCTCACTTTTGCTGATTGTTTCTGATATATTGTCTGAATCGTATTTATAAAGTTTTGACCAAAGTCCATTATTTTTAGTTGTTGAATCATAAATGGTCAAGAAACATTATCAAATGCCTTTTGGGCGTCTAAAAATACTAGTGCCAGTTGTTTCTTGGATGAAATTCATAATATTCCAATGTATCTAGTATTACCCTCAAATTAGTTTTTATTTGTCTCTTTGGCAAAAATCCATTTTGATCTGGGTGTATAAATTCAGTCAAAAATCTTTTCAGCCTCTCAGCTATTATTGAAGATTTTATAGTCCACATTCAGTAGTGATATCAGTCTATAGTTTTTGATCTGGGTCAGATCTGAGTCCTCTTTTGGTATCAAAGTAACATTAGCTTCTGTC